TTTTTTAATTCTTATGAAAGAATGACCTATGAGAAGGAGGAAAATCATAAGAATTAAAAAAGAAGAAAGAAGCAACAACAGGTTGTGTGTGTGTGTGTGTGTGTGTGAGAGAGAGAGAGAGAGAGAGAGAGAGAGAGAGAGAGAAACTCTCCAAAACTGCAACAGGAAAATAATCAATAGATCCTGGCCGAGCAAACTTGAACTCTTTACAATTTTTTTCCCAGGTTTTCCAAATGAAATTAGGGTTAAGGTTCTAAAGTTCAGTGAGACTCAATGAGACATGGTAATTTCTAATCATCTGCATTCAGAACCCCGAATTGAAATTTTCTGTTATTTAAAATGACATTTATGCATAATTGATCCTAAATTTAATTCTTAAAACATTTGTACCATATCAGAAAATTCTATGTAGTGTTTAGATTCACCTCATGCTATTACTAAGAATTTGCATGCAAAATCATAAAATGGCAGGAAACATTTTCTTGTTCCAAAGTTGTACAGCAAGAAATTCCACTGGTAATCAATAAAGATACTTCCCCCCCCCCTTCTTCTCCCTCATCTATTGTTAAGTAATAGCTATTCTATCAGGCTGAAACAGTGGACAGGTGGGAAATAGGGTCATCCACCTGCTTGGCTAAGATACTATTGTAGATCAATTTCATTCCTTTTTTTAAAAACCCGTAGCTTTTGGATTGTAAACATGAAGGCTTTATATGCTGACCTTATATAAGCTGCTTTGGTAGCCCTTTCCACTAAAAATGAAAGGGGAAAAAAGGGCACAGGTATGAATTCAATTTCGGGCTACTCTGTGATGACAAGGACAGCTACTTCTCTGTTTTTCCTGAACCTGTGGAATCTCATCCAACTGCATGATTCGGTGACCTGCTCAGCAACCTCTCTCCTGCTTTGGAGAGATGGAATGGAAAATCTAGCAAGTGAAAGTCCTGACTGATAATTTTGTAAATAAACTCAGAGGTAATACTCTGAGATGGATGATGATAATAATAATAATAATAATAATAATAATAATAATAATAATAATAATATTCTGAGCTGGATGGGCAAAATCCAGTGAGATGACAGAGGAAGCATCTTGCAATATTATTTGAGAGGCTTCTGATTCTCTGGATTTCAGTGAGGTGGACAAGGTTCTTTGTGATCTTAATACTGCCACTTGATCCCCCCCTCCCGGCTGGTTAAAGAAACCAGGGAAGGGGCAAGAAAGTTGATCTATGCCCAAGGTCTCATTGTGGAAGGTGGAGGTTCCAGTGGTACATCAAGACCCATCCTGGATCCAGTTTTACTGAACAATTACTGTTATATATTCAGCCTCTCCTGTGAGAGATTAGAAACTGGGAGACTAGAGAGTTCTTGATCTCCCTTAGGCATGATAGTTGGCTGGGTGACTTTGGGTTGTTGGGTTGGTTTGACTCTCAGCCCAACCCATTGCACAGGGTTGTTGTGGGGAAAATAGGAGGTGAATGCATTAGGTATATAGGCACCTTAAGTTGACTCAAAATAAAGGTGGGATAAAAATAAAATAATAATACATAGAAAATTATCTTTTGGTTTTGTTATATTTACTGTATGTTGTCTTTATCCATGTTGCCATTGTACTTGTACATCTAGAGTCCTTGAGATTGAGGCAATCGATACATTTAAATTAATGCATAAATTTAATTAATACCTAATTATGCTGCAAATAAATTAATACATCATACAGAAAAGCCTTGAATGATAACCAATTTTCTCTGCTATATCTTATAGGTCAGATAACGTATGGTGTTGGTTGGCCATAAGCACGCACAGGCAGTGTTTTCACAGAAGGCGGACCTCTACCAGTAATTCTCAGGCTCAAGGAACCTGAATGCAGAAGCCATAGGGACATAACATGCACCATGATGTTATTTGCAAATGATGTAAATTATGAAATTTGCATAAGTTGTGCCATGATGCAAATAATGCACAGTATTTAATTCTCATTGCTTATGCAATAATGTCACACGTGTGATGTTGCTCTTTCCCCACCATCCTGGTAAGTGCAAAATGTTCCATCTTAGTTGTGAGGAAGAAGAATGTATTTGGCAAGTCACAACTGCTTAGATGCCAAATGTAGCTTGGGTTTTAAACAACTGCGCACTTAGGGTGATGATCATTATTTCTGACAACCACAGGAACTGAACACTGAAAATAAGGTGAGAGAACCACACCATGCAGAACATCTCACTGCGCTTTGCTGAATGCAAATCAAACATTTGTGCCAAAGGAAACTTTTTTCCCAATGCAAACAGCAGGTGCAGGAGAACCAATCCGATCAGAAAAAAAGGTTAAAGCTCTTGGATTGCCCCCTTCTCTAAGCACTTGTTACCTTTTTTAAGAAGCTGTTTTTACAATTTCTATATCATAAATAGCGTCTTGTTTAATTTAGCTCTGAACCACTGAACAATTAGTTTACATTACATTTATGTGCACACATACTATGGAGTAAGTCCTTCTGAACTCAGAGGAATTAACTTAGAATCAGGATTGTGTTGCATATGTAACTTGCCTAATGCATCTACTTTTGTCTATGCACCAATTTAAAAGGAAAGGAACACGGAAACACCTTCCACCTAAAGTAAATATTTTTTTTAATCAGGCCATGTAAATTCTACATACAGTAGGCAAACTATTACTTGCTTTACATAATCCACTTGTACATTTATTTTCTAGATGCCAAGTCCATAATAATAATTATTCTAAAACATTACTCAATATTTTATTCTCAAAACTTCTTCATGAAGAGGAAAACAGAAAGAAGGTGAAATCAGACTGAGATTAATTTAAGCCACACTTTGAAAACAGAAGGCTTCCATTGCAGCCATAGTGGCGTATGTCCACTTCGAACAGATTGAAGAAGACAGAGAGTAACTATGTCAAGTATCACCCATTTTCATCAAGACAGAGTACTCTAATGCAAAACCTGGAGTTCATTGCACATAACCTCCATCTTTCTTTCTGTCTCAGACATATACTATTGTTTGTTTTGGTAGTCGTAATAGGCAGAATACATCTGCCGCTAAACAGCAGTTGACTTCTGCTTCCATGCACAGTGAAAAACACACACGGGCAAATTTTCCCCATTAAAAATCCTTCTCACAGGCAAAACTATCTCAGTTTGCTGTTTCTTGTCCAAAAGTGCAACATAAACAACAGCCTGGACAGACCCAGGCCTACAAAATGCCTTCTGCAATTGTCAGCCTTTTGAGGTAGGCCAGGTCAAAAAACAGACACTGCAGAGATTCCAGGAAAGCAACTATATGGACATAGAGTACAGCAACAGAAGCTTGAAAGCCTGTCCAAGTTTCTCTCTATCCCATCTTATACAAAACAAGGCGGGGTTACATTGGCTTCCTTTCTTAGGCTTGCTTCAATCTCTTGCCTGTGTAATCTTTTATGCAAGTCCTTCTTAATGGTTCTTTCATACCTTCCCTGGTGTCGGCTCTAAATTCCTTTACAGCAGTTACTGCTTCTGTTTCCTTCAACCTTCCTTCGTAGAGCCTAGGCCTCCTCTTTTTCCTTCGGAAAGCACTGCTCGAAAGAAGCCATTGCCACTCACTTACTAACAAGCGCCCTGTCTGGTAGCAAGGTTCAAAAGCTCTGGCTGGCTTCCTGTGCAGTTTCAACCTTGCTTCCTTCCCTGCTCACAGGAGAAGCTGCCAATCTGTTCTTCATCTTAACAGTTAGCCACCCGTCACTCCTCTCCTGCTTTGTTGTTTCACCGCATGGCTTCTAGGCAAGTGCTAAACAGAAGCAAACATTGTGAAATTATGAAAATCAAGAGATTTCCCTCAAGCCTGAACTCTTTTATTCCCTCAGCTCAACAAATTAACATTAAAATAAAAAAAAAGATGGGTGTATTACAGGGAAAGAAAACAACATGTAGAAGAAAGGGTGCATATGAGTTGGAATGTGGAAAACTTAAAACAGACGTAGAAATCCCTGCCATAGCTCTTTCTGGGACAGGTTGCTGAAGTACTCTGAAGGAGGCCATTCATCATCCTTGGTATATCATCAGCATGGTGGTAAGATGGTTTTTCTTCCCTCAACCCTATTCCCATGGAAGTTTACAGGTAGTCCTCACTTACCAACCACTCGTTCAGCAATGGTTTGAAGTTACAACGGTGCTGAAAAGGAGATTTATGATGGTGCTCCAAGTTGCGGCCATCACAGATTGCAATTTAGGCGCCTGTTAGATTCCTCTTCCTCCCTGTCCGAGCATGAAGAAAGGGGTTTCCCAGGGCCTTCCTTGCCTAGGTATTTTGGAGACTGACTGCCTTCTTTTCTACAAGCAGGGAAAGATGCAAGATTGGAATCCTGATTCTCCAAAGTTTTTCTTTCTGTGTGTATCATGAATATTAAGAGTAGGGATTGTATAAGAATGAATGAATGAATGAATGAATGGAGGAATATTTTAGGAAACAACAGAGAGCTAAGTCTCCTGATACATTCTCTGATACAAAATTACAAGTTCTTTTAATTTTTCTTTTATGCCCTTTCCCTCTTTTAAGATACTTGAGAAAAAAGGATATTGAAGATCCTAACAGAGGCTGCATTCCTATAATACTCTCAGCCTAGTTACCTAGCTTAGTGACAGCAATCCCAGCACTCCCCATTGCTGTTGTTAACCAAATCCCACCCGGTCATTAGGTGAGGACCCATCCCGATCCAAGCCATTCTCAGCTTTGTTCCTCTCAGCCCTGAGCCTCGGTAAGGTAAGGGACTACGTACCTCCTCAACTCCCCTACCCATCTCCCCCACATCTCTGCCCTTTTGGCTGCCCTGCACTCTACTGTCTCTGCTGGCCTTCCGCACCGCTCACCCTGCCACCCTGCTGCCCCCAGTTGACCTTTCCTGTCGTCTTCCTCCTGCTGCTGACGAGGCGTGCTTGGCCTGGCCCTTCATGAGGCAGCTGCTGGCTGTGCCAGGCCTTGTTCCGAAGGCTGCATGCTGTCTTGTCCAAATTGCGTGTGGCTTTATCGCAAGGCTCTGGAAGGCTTCAAAGCCTCACGAGAAAGCCACAGGCAATTATGGACAAGGTACTGTAAGGAATGGTTAGACTAACTGCTTATTTTGCTTCTGTACCTCAAGCTTTTGCTGACCTAGTGACTGTGTGGCTGAGGGGCAGTCTA